ATATGGTACTACAAGGTCATTAAGATAAGATGGGGCCTGATTATTTAAGACCTTGTATGTGAGGAGCAGGATTTTGAATTCTGGATTTAACAGGGAGCCAATGAAGGGAAGCCAATACAGGAGAAATATGCTCTCTCCTTCTAGTCCCTGTCAGGACTCTTGCTGCAGCATTTTGGATTAACTGAAGGCTTTTCAGGGAGTTTTAGGACTTCCTGATAATAATGAATTTCAGTAGTACAGCCTAGAACAAAAATTGGGTAATACTGTTGCCTATGAACATGCGTGATGCATATAGAGGTTATCAAATCTATGTCAATGTTGAACTTCATTAATCCATTAATTAATTAAAGAATTTTTGCCATACAAGGACCTTCAAAGGAATCAACTTCATTGGAACCTGTAGAGATCCAAGATTACCTTAGTAATGAAGAGTGTTCATATATATGAATATTGTAAGTATATTTAGTTGCTAGTTTATTTGATAGTCTGTGTAGTAGTGATGGTAAATTCGTTTATTTTTACTTTATCGAGTTTGAACGAGTCACTCACCAAAGTGAATCGGGTTTTTGGAGTCATTTGAGTCACTGAGTCAGTTGCCCAGAGAGTGCAAAAAATTTACATTTTCACTCAAACTTTATTTGTTTCTCTTTTCATGTATATCCTACTGCTAAGATGAATGATTGAAAAAGAAAAACAACAATTTTTATAGAGCAAAAAAATTAAGTTTTCTAAAGGGAACATTTATTTTATTTATTTTTAATGTATTTTATTAGTAATTCCTCAAATGTGTCAAATATATATATGTCCACTGAGCTGTGAGCCGGGGGCGGTAATACGCCTTAACATTGGTTGCCAACCAAGAAGAAGAAGAAGAAGAAGGAGCTGTGAGCATGGAGGGAGAGGGCGAGTGAGTGATTCGTTAGTAGTAAAACGTTGGCGAAATTCCAAGATGGTGGCGAACCAAACCGGTTTGACAACCTGTTTGACAGGTTTCGTGTGTGTACGCATGCGCGTTCAGGTATCTTGGGGTTATGTGTGTTTATGTGTGGAAAAACCCAGGGCGGCTGAGGGGTTATATGTGTTCATGTGTTCCGTGAATCGCTACCTTATCTTGGTGGAGGGGTTTGTGTGTCCCAGGGATCCCAGGGTCTATGTTGTCTGGGGGCTTTTGCCCCCTGGTAGGGCCTCCCATTGCAAATTGGTCCTGGGTGAGGGACCAGACAAAGAGCGATTCAGAAGACCCTTATGAGAAAAACATAGAGGGAACAGTTTACCCTGCCTGGGATAGGGTTACCGGAGCCCCGCCCTGGAGCCCCGCCCTGGAGCCAGGCCCGGGGAGGGTGCCTGAGGGCGAGCGTCTGGTGGCCGGAAAAGGGCACAGCCCGAAAAGGGGACATGGGCCCATCCTCCCATGGGGTCGGGTGCATTGTGTGTTGGGTGGCGGCCAGGAGCGGAGGCGCTGACGGACTGATCCCCGGCTACCAAGACTGGCAATTGAGACATGGAATGTCACCTCTCTGATGGGGAAGGAGCCTGAGTTAGTGCGTGAGGTTGAGAGGTACCGGCTAGATATAGTCGGGCTCACCT